GATATTATTACATATATTAAAAATATAAATAATTTGATTAAATATAGTAACAACACTTTAATACACCAGCATTTTGTTCAAATTAGCCTGTACACCCGTCGGATAAGTTGCAGAGGTGGCAATTCCACATTGATTACCCTTATTCCTACTCATTACGCCATACCCGGCCTCACCCCAAGTCCGATCCCACGAGTTTTTCACAAACCATATGTCGCGCCTACCGTCCACATCATAGCCCGTGATAGTGAGCGCGTGATTCAGTTTATCCCGACTATTACTACACTCCGTGCTCTCAAAGATACCGGTGCTGTAAAACTGAAAACCAAAGGGCGAGGCGTCTATAGCCACGGATATGGGACCGATGTTATAGACGGCATCCTTGAGCGCCTCCTCATTGCCCGCCTGTACCGACTTATAGCCGGTTATGACAGCGCTTTTGTCCGGTTTGTAATGACACGCGTTTTTGAGACCTTTGTAGGGGTAGGAGGCGGTGGAGTCCAGACCCCCATTTTGTATGACATACTGGTATGCCCTGTCCGGTGTGCCCCCACTACAGCCCTTAGTTCCCTGGTTTTCCGAGCAATCGATGAGATTTTGCTCCGAGAGGTCCACCTTTTTCCCGGTGCTTATTACCAGCTGACCTAGTTATTGATGATTAGTTTTGATATTTAATTATTTATAATGATATAGTCTTATTTTATTGATCTCTAATGTGTATTAATCTTATGGTTTTGAATTATACTTAACCTTTGTTAAGCAATAATAACTATAATCATTTATTGGTTAAGCATTGTATCAGTAGTATATAATTCTGCATCTTAAATTTATTAATACCTAGTTAATCCTTATTATTCTCATATCTCATGTGACAATTGTACACAAAATAACACAACTATTTTTCACATAAGCTTAAAATATGCTTTAAATATCTTTATAGAGTAAATAAATGTTTTAATCATACTTTCAATGGCGGCGATTGCACTGAAAGCCCAACTCGAGGCACACTTTATGTGAAAATATTAACAAAAATTAAAACATAAATATAAATAAAATACAATTTAAATAATACATACATTTCTCTGATACTTAACGGATGTGACTGCGCCCCTAAGTACCCAGTTATATCTATCTGGTACGTGTCCAGTGCTACCTCGGTATACATCATCAGAATTATTAGCCGTGTGTTTGAGGTCAGGCCTAAAACCGGTTGCAGTATTCAAGTACTCTTCGGTAGTCATATCCGCCCACTGGTTGACGGCTACCCTATAGGGATATATACCGTAGTCCGCCTCCTCGTTGTGCCGGATAATAGACTCCCAATTGCCAACAAACACCTGATAGTGGGTCTCCTCATCTTTACCATCTTTGTACCTTTTGTTATAAGTATCCTGCTCATTTAAAAGTAATATTTTTTATTAATATGAAATATTAAAATTAATATAAAATATAATTTACTTTAAAATCTTGAAACTCTTGCCAGAGATCGTCCGGTTTGAATGAGCAAGCAACTTGCGTTAGGTATAATAGTATTAAATATTTTAACATCTTAAAAATAAGTATAAATATATTAGTTTAAAGAATATTCTTGATACTTTAACTAGTAAATTTAAGTAGCTAATAAATATTTATAAATATAAACTTACTATTTATATACAAATCATTAGTAAATCCAGTGACAAAGTCTAGTGTGTTATCAGTTTCATTGAACAAAGAATTTTAATTTCTTTTCTGTAATACAATGAACACTAATTACAACAACATATCGATTGTAATGTCAATTGTATCCTATATATGACATGCAATTTGCGAGATTAT